AAAATTGGGGTCTTTGCAGTAGAAAGGGCGGATAACTGCCAAAAAATGAAAATCGAGTTTTTGTTGTATTCGGATAAATCTTGACACGGGCATTTTTCAATTATAAATGGAAATTAATTTTCATAATAAAAAATCGAGATATTTAAAAAAACTTTTGGGGGTTCGTATATCACGAGATTACCCGATATAACTGACCAATCAAATTACGAAAATTTTGATTAACCCGAATCAGTCCGACTCCTATAAAACTGTTTTTCATGTTCTAAAAAAAAAAAAAAAAAAAAAAATTCTCATAATTTTGATGTAAAACTTACTCTAAACCTTTTCTAACTTTAACCCAACTCTAACTTAACTCTAATCTCAAAAACAGCTTAACGCAGATCCATCTAGACTGAATGGTCGACATAACCTGGCACAGAAACCATATGTGCATCTGCTGCACCAATTTTGGAGGTAGACTAAAGCGGATGATCGACAGATGATCGGCCAATCAACATATGGGCAGATTTGGCTCGTCAGAGTTCTGATTAAAAAGGAAAGGCAACATCCAAATAAAAAGTCTTTGTTTCGATATGTATTGTCACGTGAACATTTACTTGCGCTCATATGAATTGTAACAAAGCAAGCTACCTTGATGCATTAATAAAAACATGTAGGTATTCCTAAATACGTATAACCCCAAAATAGCCTAACCCTACCATTAATAAATAAACGTTATTCACTCCGCTTTAACCGACCTCTAATTTTTGGCCTTTTAAATTTTTTGCGATCACATATGGATCTACGTACTGCATAAATTGTATTCTTGATATCTATATATAAATAGTAACACTTATGGTATCAGAAAAAGTAATCCTAACCTGCATTTGGCTTTAAAGTTTCCCCAAAAGTAGCGGTAGGAAAAAATTTTCATTTAATGAACGACTATGATTTATTGACCTAATTTTTGATTGTCGTTCTCAGCCAATCACAATTGAGAACCTGCCGTGACAAAATTGGTACGGGCAACTAGATCTTCTGTACTCTACAGGAACCATAGTTAACGCTAACCCAAGCCGAACAAATTTGTCGGAATTTTGATCAGCTCCCATATCAGTTCATTTGAAAAGTATGTCTATTCATGTTCTATAATTGATATACTCTCAAATGGAGACTTCAGTTTTAGAAATGATTATGTTCAAATTCAAATTAAAAATCTATTTTGACGATGAAGTTTTATAATATTTCTTTTTTAATGTGTAGTTTTTTTTTTGGGGGGAAATATAACTATTTAAATAGAAATGATTGTAAAATTGCCAAATGTTATACGCAGTATTTTATTGTTATACATTATATAATAAATATTTTATAATAAATATTAAAGAATAAACAAAACAAAGTTTGTAATTTGATTACTACCAGTGCGGCACAATTTGAATGATACATTAAATGACTTTCTAGGCCATTGTTTTTCGGACAGCGAAGGCCTCATGGAAGACGTTGCACGATGGAGGATTCGTGAACATAATTACACAAACGAAGGCTCATGGATAACGTTGTACGAACGATTGCAGATGTTGATTCTTAGTAATACAGGTTCAAAGGCGTATATCACATTAGCAACTATACAAATTTCTTTATCAGTA